AGGACAAGTTCAAAGTAGTTCTGAGGAGACCTTCAGAGTAGTTCTGTTGAGATTTTCAGAGTAAGTCTGAGGAGAACTTCAGAGTAGTTCTGAGGAGACCTTCAGAGTAGTTCTGAGGAGACCTTCAAAGTAGTTCTGTGGAGAGTTTCAGAGTCATTCTGAGGAGAACTTCAGAATATTTATATGGAGAGTTTCAAAGTAGTTCTGAGAAGAACTTCAAAGTAGTTTTGTGGAGAACTTAAGAGCAGTTCTGCAGTGGATAGTTTCAGAGTAGTTCTGAAGAGAACTTCAATGTATTTCTGTGGAGAGATTCAGAGTCAGTCTGAGGAGAACTTCAGCGTATTTCTGTGGAGACCTTAAGCGTAGTTCTGAGGAGAGTTACAGAGTATTTCTGAGGAGACCTTCAGCGTAGCTCTGTGGAGGGTTTCAGAGTAAGTCTGAGAAGAACTTCAAAATAGTTCAGAGGAGGCCTTCAAAGTAGTTCTGAGGAGACCTTCAGTGTAGTTATGTGGAGAGTTTCCGAGTAGTTGCGAAGAGAACTTCAGTGTATTTCTGTGTTGAGATTCAGATTAAGTCTGCGGAGACCTTAAGCGTAGTTCTGAGGAGAGTTACAAAGTATTTCTGAGGAGACCTTCAGCGTAGCTCTGTGGAGGGTTTCAGAGTAAGTCTGAGGAGATCTTCAGAAAAGTTCTGAGGAGAACTTCAGAATAGTTCTGTGGAGTGTTTCAGAGTAGTTCTGTGGAGAACTTCAGAGTAAGTCTGAGGAGAACTTCAGAAACGTTCTGATGAGAACTTCAGAATAGTTCTGAGGAGGCCTTCAGAGTAGTTCTGAGGAGACCTTCAGAGTGGTTCTGAAGAGAATTTCAGGGAAGTTCCGAGAACTCCGGAGAAGTTCCACGAGTCTCAGGAAAAGTTTTGGAAAATATATGAAACTCCCCGGGGGTACCCGATACATGTCCGTACCAGGGAAACGTGGTCTTCAGTACTTAATATGGCCTCCAATGATCGTATTTTTGAATTCTGGTGCAGTTTTAAGGTCTGTATCCACATTATTCCGGACACCTTCAAATCATTGTAACTTTTGGAACATATAGGGGAAACAGCCCTATTTTTGTGGTACGTTAGCAGCATTAGAAGCCTATTGTTGTGTATGGAGGTCTCCATACCCAACAATAGGCTTCTAACACTGCTAACGTACCGCAACAATAGGGCTACCCAAGCAACACCATTTGTTGCTCAGCGAGTAACAACAACCTTAGTGTGACTTAATGAAGGTCCAAATTATGGACAACGCATCGCATATAAAACTTCATTGTACCTTAAAAAGCGCAGAAGGTGGAGTCTCTTTGCAACTTATGATTGTTGCAAAAGATGTTGCAATTCAGTTGCAAGTAACATGATATTTTGATTACAAAAGTTGCAAATGAGGTTTAGACTGACTTAACTGAAATGTTCTACTGAAGTGTTTAAAACAGTACAGTGATGTTTTCTAATACTTATGATTGATATTCCTGTTTACCAAATAAATGCATTGAAATATTTTTGAGTGGAAATACGGAAAAGGAACACTAGTGTTTTTAACTGGACTGAAAAATCGTCCACAGAGTTGTCAATCATAGCAAAAGTCTGTTGAATAACCATATACAATAATTGACTTTAAAAAACTTCTATCTAGTCCGTATTTTCAAACACATCAAGTTTTATGGTGAAATATAACATGTTACTCCAATTAAATAAACGCGCCTTCTGAAAATTTACAAATTGATGCCACAAATTTGCAGCTCAAAAATGTATCAAAATAAAAAATTGCTCACCGCAAAAAGAAAATAACTCCAAACTAATGGAAAACATTATAACTGCAATAATTGATTCATGTTTTATGTGAATATGGTGTGAAACATGCATAAATTGAATAAAAAATTCATTATATTTTATTTTTGGTGGATAACATATGGCTGCCAGTCTCACCAACTGTGTACATAGCGGGTCAAAATTTTCAGTACATGCATGTATGGCAGTAATTTATTAATGTTTTAAAATTTATCTGTGCGTGTGTGTTTATGTGTGCATGTGTGTAAGTGGGAGGGGGACTCTGAGAGAAACTTTGATATCAATTATTGTAGGAAATTTTTGGTAATCTTGTAATCTTATGACATGATCAAGTGGCTGTTTTGAATGTATCACTGTATTGTGCAGCGTGACATAGTAGCAATGATTTTTGTTCTATTTCACGAGCCCAAAACACCAATGTTGCCTGCTGAGCAGTTTATTTAGCATTATCATAACACACAGACAAGAAGACATGGTCTCATAAAATGGTATCGAATAGTTTTGGAATAAAATTCCATCCATAAAACAGCTATTTTGGAATCAGTCAACTAACTCCGGAGATATAACCAAAATATGTTCCGAAAAACACAAATGTTGTTGTTTTTTGACAATATTGAACAAAAATGGACGCGTAAGCCACAAACCATTTGCGGAATAGTTTACCCATCCAGGATACAGTTCGTTTGTGAAATTTGTACACGGAACAAAAAAAACACTGATTTTCATATAAAACTGCGCTATTGGAAAATCCTTTAAAACGTACACACCAAAAATCTGAATCGAGTTCCAGTAAAATGGATTGCTGATCTGCTTCCAGCAAAAGTAGTTTTTACTGACCAACCAGCAATCTAGAAATTTTTGCTGGAAGCTCAGTAATATGCATGATCTGTAAAATATGGGATCATTTTTATGTTTCACATTCCCACGGCATTTTTTTTAGAATTAAGAAGTTCATTTTTAACAGTATTATATTGCTCATGCTTGAGAAATTCACTACGAACCAGTAAGTAAGTGCAATAAGATTATCACTACGTGAATTAAACTAGGTTTTTTTTTTATTTTGATTTAAGCTAAAATCCTTGCGAGAAGTACTTCTGAATCTTTGAAATGTGTTATTACACAGATAAAAATTCTGAATTTTAATTGTGATGTAAACATTCATTCACGTAAACTTGTATTTCATTTCATGCAACCGAGCAACTTGTAAACAATATTGTTTACAAATATGGACTTTTGTATACAATATTTGCTACATGGCATGAAATGTCTCAGAACATTACATGATTTATAATGTAAACTTATATGGTATGTGACGCTCCATTTATGTGCATCATATTGAACAGAAATTTACACTACTTGTGAAAAAGCACATGGATTATTATTCCATTAAGCAATTGTAATAAAAATAGGACTTACCGAACTATACATATACCTAGATTATATTTATATTTAACTCTTAATTTGAAACAATCTATAGAAAAACAAATTAAATTGCTGGTGATACAATAAAATATGTAATATGCAGTTTTACTGAACAAACCAGTGAACTATTGCTGGTTTTGCAGCAATGAGCTGTCAAATGAGCTGCAAGATGTTTTGCTGGAAGGATTGCTGAATTTCAATAATCGGCAATAAAAATAAGTGTGTATATTTTTTCTAGGTGGTAACTTACACATAACTTTCATTTGATTTTTCAAAGCGATATCTTCATTGGACATCCAATGAATTTTATTGGATTTCACCTATACAGATTACGTGAAATATTGATTCAGTCCATGGTTCCATGAATTGTTGTGGAAACGATCATCTTTTTTTCTTTTTTTTTCATGCAAACCCATTAATGGGTAAAAAATACCCATTTTCAAACCATGTATGCAGCTGTCAAAAATAAGGGGAATTTGGAAATCATAAAATGGGAGAAAAAATACCCACACAGATAAAAGTTCTGAATTTTAATTGCGATGTAAACATTCAATCACGTAAACTTGTATTTCATTTCACGCAACCGAGCAACTTGTAAACAATATTGTTAACAAAGATGGAGTTTTGTATACAATATTTGCTACATTGCATGAAATGTCTCAGTACTTTACATGATATGTAATGTAAACTTATATGATATGTGACGCTCCATTTATGTGCATCATACTAAACAGAAATTTACACTTATTTTTCGAACTGTGTAATCGTTATGCATTGTTTACATTTGGCCCATATACGTTTCCTGAGATGAACCAGCCTAAGGCTGGAATAAAGTTAAAAAGAAACATAAGCCCTTTCACAGGTTCGGCTGGAAGTGAATGAATTTATTAAAAAAATCTAATGATCCATTAACAATTATTTACTTATTTAGAAGCAACTAAATAAATAAATAAACAAGCTTATATTGCACCCACCATATTAAATAAATTAAAGACCAATTAATAGCATAACTAACTCAAAAGTTCTATAAGTTGATAAATTCTTCCATTAATAACTACAGTCAACCCTCTACTAACTCGATATCGAGTTAGAGAGCCATAGTTGTGGAGAGTTCATTTTAAATAAATAAATTTGCATACAAACAAAATAAACAGATAATTACCCAAGTAATCAACAAGCCCGCTAATCGCCCTTTTTGTAATATAACGCTGATAGACAGCTGATATAAAATTTTAAAACCCTATAAAATTGTTATATTGCAAAAAAAAAAGCGATTAGAAAGCTATTATTGGGCTTGGTGGTTACTTGGGTAAATTAAATCGGTTATATTTTTTGTGATAACATATTACAGGTTATTTCTGCAGTTTTACAACACAACACAAAAAACCTGTTATAATGTAACATTTTATTGTTTGTAATATTATTTGACTACTTTATCCTGATAATTAAGGGCTCTCTTCTTCGATTTATATTTCGGTAGGCAAAATAAATTGATCGGCAGTGTACATTTCAATCCAGAAAATGCATGTTGCACTACAGTATACAAACGACACAGGAGCTACTGTCATGCAACAATAAATTTAATGTTTTAGCAGTCTTATAAACATATCATCGCTGTGACTTTTCTGGAACGTTCCGATGACATTGTTGTGACAAGATATATATTGACGTCTGGATGCAACAAATAATATGTTCACAAAAAATCAGAAGTAGTCTAGTAGAGAAGTCAGAATCAAGTGCTCGCAAAAATGCCGTTTTCGATCGTACAAACGCGAAAAAATAAACGCGCCAGGCCAACGATGACCATCGTACCGAATACCTGGGTCAAGCACAATTCGGTTTATTGGCCCATGTCCAATTTGTTGACTTTATCCGCTGACGAAAATTCCGAACCAGATATGGCGTCGTGGTCTCTCCAGAAGTGCAAAGTAGTTGGCCGGGGTTCAACGTATGCGGATGCCGAAAACGTCATGAGAATACTGGAAGCGGTAACGGATTCCGAGGATACAGTGGAGATCAGTCGTGGGACTCGTGCGACTCCCGGGACAAAAAAACCAAAATTCAACTCCAAAGTTTACCAGCTAGCTCCTGCTAAGCATCAATTGCAGGTTAGAACAAAAATGCTTGTTTTTTTACGCTTTGATAGATCATAATGATACGAGGGCGGGTATGTGATCGACAGTTCGATAGTTCGATTTCTAAATTCATCACCCTCAGGATTCAAGCTTCCAGAGCCTACAGCACTCTGCCTGATCGAAAGTAGTGACTTTTCAAAGACCAAAGATATTATTTTGGATCAAGCAGAGCGATTCCAGTTCTGGAAGCGTGAAAGTAACAAAGTTAGGAACCGGACCGTACTTCGTGTTACTAAAAAATTAACAAACATTTACATTCCAGACACATGTCGAGACAACCTTCAGCAGCAGTAGTAGTGGACAAAATTTCTCAAGCGTGAACTCCATGAAATCCCTGTCGAAAAGTCCAGCACATATCAAGTCGCAGCCTGAAACATCCAACAACAGCACTAATATTCGGCCACTTCCGTCAGCTGCAGGGAACGTACCGATTTCTACGATTTCCGGTCCTTCTCAACAGAATTTTGCCGGTGAAGCCACTTTAAATCAGGTAAATTTTAATATTAATTCTGTTGGTATTGCTGAATGCATTTGATACTGGACTGCCCCAACAATACAAAAAGTGTGGTATCGTTTTGGTGTCTTCGGAGTACTTATAATTACATCATGAGGAATAAGTACACCGCAGACACCAATACGATTGTACGGAAACTCGCATTTTTTAATAAGTGAAAACGCGCTTTGTTCAGTTTGGTGTGGAATGCGCAATATTTCTAAATTTTGTAAGGTGACATACACAAATCCCCTGATTTGCGCAGTGGGTAGTGCCGTCCACCCAACGCCATTGATCAGTAGTCTTACGACCAATTGAACTAATTTTCTCTATGGATAAGCTTATGGTTGATCCTAATCACATACAAAAAAACAACAGTTTAATTGGTTACACAATTATTAGAAATTTCGGTGGGTGGACGACACCACCCGACGCGTACATCGGGGAATTCCTGTATATATAATCATATTAAGCAATAGCAATAACTGAATGTGGACATTAACAATGCGTAGGGGGAGGAGGGGCATACTGAACAGGTGGGGCATAGTGAGCATCCCGGAGTTTGGCCCTGGATCTCTAGCTGCATGAAACAAATCAACTGGCAGTCGGTTCAATATCATTATGATATTGATTCTACCACCAACCAATTTGTTCCGAACGGCCGGAAGTCCAAGCTGGTGCACGGGATGCTCACTATGCCCCTCTTACCCCTATATATACAATTGAACGATGGCGATTATTTCTGCTTTTCCGTAAGTAATTCCGATGAAAGTCTCAAATCTTGATTTTAGATTATTTGCTGGTGTTGTGAGTTTCGTTCCATCAGTTGCGGATTCCAATAGAGCGATTTCGAACACTTCAGCTCGATTTTACTTTAGTGCTGTGAGAACGAAGCCATTGCCCCTCCAAGGTGGATTGTTTTCTTTATTTTTCTAAATATATAACAATTTATTAAAAGCACACAAATCTTCACTGCACTTCAATGCCATAATATGCTGTTTCGACGAGAGTGTGGTTTATTTTACACCTTCAAAGTAAATGCTTCATCACGGCATGCACATCATAATATGAATATCAGAAAGGGTGATTTTTCTCCAACAAGGCGATGGTATTAGCTTGCGTAGGAGTTGACGTTTGAATCTTTGTCTACGAAACCAGATTCCTCCCTTTGAAAAAGTTATCGAGGTATCTTTAACCATTTCCACTTAAGGATTTCAAACATTTCCAATCCGTAAAATGTCGTTCGGGACACTGGGGATTATTTATTCTTCTCATGTCACTTATTACATTCAGGTTTCCTGGGCATTCAATCAGCTTCGCAAAATAATTTGATGATAAAGTCTCCTACGCACTGAAGTAAAAATGAAAACAAACAGAAATACAAACATAGAGACAGTGTCGTGTATACAGGGTACGGCAAATGTGCTCCATTGGGATTGGGTTCGCAAACAGTTATAATATTTTACAATTTTTTTATAACGCACTTCAGTGTAATGATATTTTTAATATGCCACAACCTATGCTCTTACGATTTTATGACGTCACTCCAAGTCACTTCGTGAATTTTTATTTTTTGTAATCTCTAACACTGCTAAAGTACCACAACTGCCGCACCATATATATATATATATATATATATATATATATAACTGATCAGTTAGAACACGCTATTTCTAAACAAACCAAATTTGAGTTGGATCTATTGATATCCGTCAAAAGTAGGGCTACCCAAAATTGAGTAAACAAAGTTGGAACTGATACGATGACAAATGAGGAACATCGTTCGGATTCAGGTCGATGTTGTATATTCGTCATCTTGTCAGTCCCAACTTTGTTTCCTCAATTTTGGGTAAACCTACTTTTGACGGATATTAGTAGATTCTACTCAAATTTGGGTTGTTTATAAATAGCGTGATCCTCACTTTCGAACCGTCAATACTCGACTTGGACTTTATCCATGAAGCACATCTGCTGGTACCTGTGCAATGAACTGGATTACCGAGGTGAAGCAATCGATTTTGTTAAGGGAGTGAAAGCACTATACGATACAAAGAAATAGTGACGTAACTAATTGCGTATAGGTTTTTGTTTTTGTTTACCAAGGCTGGAAAATTTCCATATAAACTTGTTATTATTTATGACCGACCATTAATCCATTTTGTCAAATTTAAGTTAAAATTCACCAAAAGGAACACAGCATTAACAAAAATATTTCATGATCTGCGTCACCTCTCTTTGTATCTCATTGGACCCTGTATACATGGCAGTGTTTCTGAATGACGTTTTTATCCGTTTGTTTTCATTTTCACAGCAGTACGTATAAAGACTTCCTCGGCAGTTCTAGATAAACATTTCGAAAGGTCCTATCTGATTTGATCGATTCTCTTCGTCGACTTTCTCTTTTGATAACCACGGCTATGCAAACTGATTTCGTGCTATTATTACCACTTAGTTTGATAAAGAAGGTTCTTATTGAGCACCCAAAATGTCAAACACAATAGGAAATGTTTTTGCAGATGAGTTATTAACGAAAGAGAAAGTCGATGAAGAGAATCGATCAATGCAGATAGGACCCCTTGAAATGTTCATCTAGAGTTTCAATGCACGAAGCTGATTTAATCTTGGATTTAATATCATGAAATCTATAAAAAACAAATAAATAAGTGAAACAATAATCAAAGTACAGGCAAAATCGATTTGATACACCCTGGAGAGTTGCAACGAAAGTGACGAATAACTGACGAGGCACGGAAGTTTAGCATATTTTTTGTAGGGATTTTGGCGGGAGGTCTCATTACAGAGACAGAACTATCTCCAACTTGATTTATTAGGGACAATCGTATAATTGTCGCCGTATGTGGCACCAATCACCGAGCTATTCGGGGGAGTCCTGTATTTATCTATTTTGCTGATTTGCATTTTATGAAGCAAACGATGATCATGAATTTTATCTTTTTACAGATGATGATTCGACCATTGATTGTTCAGTCTGGGGATGGAAAGCAGTACCTCCAGCTACAGAATGGCACATATCGGCTGCTTAGCGAATTCGACGAAGAAATTGAAAACCTCAATACCAACGGTGAGCAAGAGAATCTTGGCTTCGTCCAGCAGGTGAATCCAGCTCCTGTCAGTGCTGCGAATGCCAAAAACTTTCCGACCATTACAGAAGAATCAAATGATAGTTATCTGAACGGAAACATCGAGAGCTATCCCGTCGTTTACGATGATGAAACTCCATCGGATGAAATGGGTGATATACAATCGGATGAAATGGCTGAAAGATTGGATAGAATTGAAAAGAACCTAAACAAAATTCTTTTCTTCATGGCTGACATTGAAAAGTATTTCAAAATGAAGCAGCAAGAATCGAAGACTCATGAGGAAAAGCAGCCAAAACAAAAGCGAAGTACTGAAGATTTCTCCGAATTCAAAGCGATTCTTCCAATTAAAACGGTTCAAGATCTGATGTCCATTGAATCTAAGCTGGAAATCCAATCTTTTTCCGAAAAATTGTACCAGTATTTCGAAGTAATGTACAATCTTAATGGGAAACGCGAAGGACATTCATTCTTTCGCAATCTGATCAGGAAAATGATCGACATATCGGTATTGATGCCCTTTTCGTGGTTAGGTAACACACGGTCCAAAAATGGTGAACCCCCTGTGGAACAAAACCGGAATTTCAAACGGACGTTTCCACGATTGATTAACTTCATCGGAAGTGTACTACGCGCCGCTGACTTTGAATATACAATCGAAGACACCGAGAAAGCATTCAGTGATTTCCTTCGTCATAAGAATACCGAAATGAAACGCCATATCAATCAGGGTGGACAGCGGCGAGTATCACATACCCGCAAAAAGCGACGACTGACTGATATTCCTTCCGATATGGCCGACCGTGATGATTATAACGATGCAGGATTGGACAGCATCTCCGAGAACTATGAAGAAGTTTAGAATTGAGAGGGTTGCCAGAAAGCATGAATGAACGCTGTTCTCTTTCACTTTTTTTTTATTTGTTGATTAATTTTTTATTGAAGTTTGAAAACTGATCTGCACGAAAACCAAAACGAACACTCATGTTAAATTTAAAGTTTTGATGCAAAAATGTTGCATTTTATTTGAAAAATATTATACGTTAATAAATTCTGAAATAATGAATATAGAATCCCGTACGTAAAGCTCGCGAAAACTGATAGAGCTACAATACTAACCAACAATTGCGGCACAACGCTGAGATGTCAACCTAAAAAAGTTCAGATGCACTATATCCCAACAGTTCAAATACCATTTAGATCTGAGGTGCCTGAGAGAGAACAGTCAAGTTCGGAACTGACTCACTAGGTGGTGCCAATTTGAAAACTATATTATTTCATTTAAATGTCAGGCCCATGGCCAGATAAAACAACCCGGTCTTTGGCAAAGTTTCTTAGATGTACATAACCTATCTGGCAGTGTACTGTTTAGTTCTGAACTGACTCACTAAGTGGCGCCGTCTTGAAATGAATGTTCATTAATTGATATCTCAGGTCCATTCCCAAGTAACATTGTTAGTTTTATCGAGGATTTAAAGCATTCTACAAGTCATGGTCTACAGAACCTCCATAAAACCAAAAATGTTAGTTGTCACATTTAAAGTTTATTTTTTGATAAAGTTGCTCAGCTCGCTATAATCTACCTAGCAATGCACTTCTCAGCTCGAAACTGATTCACTAGGTGGCGTTAGCGTGATTTATCTGCTTTATCGTGTATCGATTTTATTTTACGGCAAGGAAAATGATCAAGTGTTCCCCGTCTGCTTGTCTATGATTAGGGTAATATTAAAACAAAATGTTAAGTTTGACTTATTGGTACCTTTTAATTTATTTTAAGGTGTGAATGAGTGGCAAAAATACAGACTTAGGCATGCTTCTATCTTGGCAATCTATCTTAACCATTTTGCAGAGAATATTGTCAAAACTGAACATTTTAGGAGGTTCTTTCTCTAAATTTGATCCGTAGATATGCAATAATGACGACAGCACTGGTTTGACAAAGAAATCCGAAAGATTTTTCAACGGGTAACCAAATAAATGGAAAGATTTTTGTTCAGTGTTATGAACAATATACTGAGTGGATACAATTTGGAAGTCTGACGTTAAAACCCACTTATCTGCTAAAGATTCTGTATCCAGGCAGAAATCACCGAGATTTACGTATGCGTAAATTTCACATTCACTCTTTTTGATAAAACAATGCAAAGAATCATGGTCGTCATTATTCAATACAAATTTCTTTTTTAGAGTAGGTGCCTGTGATTGCTTCGGCCGTTTAAAATTTGCAAAATTAGATTGCATCTCAATAATTCTTCGAGCTACTTGCGACAGAGGAAGGTTACCACTTCTTATCATTCTTTTCAAAGTAAAAAGCTTGGATTCAAATGGATAAGCGTCGAATGAATCCAGCGGACCGAATCGTGTAACATCAATAATCAGATGTGTTAGATTATGCATGTTGCTGCTAAAAAGCTGTGTTCCGTACAATATTTTTACACCATTTAAGAAATCATCGATAAGGGCCTTAGCGACAGTATAATTTTCCGGTGAT